GGGATGACAGGCTTGAGCTGCCGCGCCGGCCTGGCGCTGAGCCGGGCCGAGCGGAACTTCCTCCTCTCTGAGCCGCGGGTGCCGGTCGCCGAGGAGAGGAGCCAGGCGCAGTCGGGTCTCCGCAGCCCTGGGGCTCAGGTGTCGCCTCTCTGTGTCTAGTTACAGCGTGAGCGAGGGGGGCGGCTCTGTCAGCCTCACCGTGCAGAGGACGGGGCACCTGGGCCAGTACGCCATCGTGCAGTGCCGCACCGCGCCCGGCAACGCCACCGCCAGCGCCGCGGGCAGCGCCCAGCTGGGCCGGCAGGACTACGTGGAGCACGCCGGACAGGTGTGTGGAATCGGTTAAGCCGGCCAGGTGTGTGGAGGGGGGTATTCCAGCCAGGTGTGTGGAGGGGGGTATTCCAGCCAGGTGTGTGGAGGGGGGCATGCAGGCCAGGTGTGTGGAGGGGGGCATGCAGGCCAGGTGTGTGGAGGGGGCATGCAGGCCAGGTGTGTGGAGGGGGGCATGAAGGACAGGTGTGTGGAGGGGGGCACGCCGGCCAGGTGTGGGGGGCAGGGCACCTGGTCCCCGAGCTCGGGCTGAGGCTGTCAGGTGGGGCTCCACCTGCCAGGTGGTTTCACCCCACCCTCCCCTCCGTCAGCACCTTCCTTGGGGACATTTCCCGTCCCCCTCCCGCCCTGCTTGCTCCTTCACCACCCCTCACTTACCTGCCTTGCGCTTTTAACCACTTGGGGCCCGCGTCCGCTCTGCTCTTGCGTGACGGGGACAGCCCGGAAGCCTCGGAAGCTCGTTCCGTTTCCCAGGCAGCTTTCCTGGTCATGGCAATGTCAGAACAGGTAACATAGACGCACATGCTTTCATGGCGTGATTTTTAAACGTCCACAATTCTGCTTTGATAAATGGAAAGTCAGAAGAAAAGTCAATTCAGAACGGTAGTTTTATTTCATTCACAGCATAAAGAAATAAAGGCAAATTTTTGATGATCAGGATGCATTTTATTCCCTGGTACGATGCATTTCCAAGCACGAAGAAATAAAGCCAAGTTTTTGATTATCAGGATGCATTTTATTCTCTGGTACGATGCATTTCCAAGCTCGAAGAAATAAGGGCAAGTTTTTGATTATCAGGATGCATTTTATTCTCTGGTACGATGCATTTCCAAGCACGAGGAAATAAAGGCAAGTTTTTGATTATCAGGATGCTGGTACGATGCATTTCCAAGCTCGAAGAAATAAGGGCAAGTTTTTGATTATCAGGATGCATTTTATTCTCTGGTACGATGCATTTCCAAGCACGAGGAAATAAAGGCAAGTTTTTGATTATCAGGATGCATTTTATTCCCTGGTATGATGCATTTCCAAGCACGAAGAAATGAAGGCAAGTTTTTGATTATCAGGATGCATTTTATTCCCTGGTACGATGCATTTCCAAGCACGGGGCTACAACGTAGGCCAGCGTTACTGTGTTGTTTGCAATAGTATCTGGTCCTACGCCTTTTATTATTTTTTGAGCGTGCAATGCGTCTTCTTAATGGGTTTTCCCTTTTTGTTTTATCACTGTTGTGCCGGGAAATGTCTTCCTCTAAAACGCGTGAGATTTTCCGGTGCAGTGCGAGGGTCGCAACGCCTCGGTTCGGAGCACTGTGGTGGGAGTTTTGTTGTTAGGGCCAAAGTCCACGCTGGCCGTGCACGTTCATCTGTGGCCGTCGGAAGTGGTTACCTGCCAGAGCTTAAGTAAGCCGTTGTGCAGCTCATCCGCCTTTCATTTTTTGAGACAGAGTCTCACTCTGTCGCCCGGGCTAGAGTGAGTGCCGTGGCGTCAGCCTCGCTCACAGCAACCTCAGACTCCTGGCCTCAAGCAATCCTCCTGCCTCAGCCTCCTCCCGAGTAGCTGGGACTGCAGGCATGCGCCACCACGCCCGGCTCATTTTTTTTTTTTCTATATATCTTTAGTTGGCCAATTAATTTCTTTCTATTTATAGTAGAGACGGGGGTCTCACCCTTGCTCAGACTGGTCTCGAACTCCTTACCTTGAGCGATCCTCCCGCCTCGGCCTCCCAGAGTGCTGGGATGACAGGCGTGAGCCACCACACCCGGCCTTGGGTGTTCTAACCCTTCCTTCGCCCTAACCTTCTGCACGAGGCTCTTGGAGAAGACAAACGGTGGATGAGCAGGGGAAACTGAGGCACAGACTAACTCAGTGCTCTGCCCGCTGGACTCGGGTGCTCTTTTCCCCAGGACTCTCTAGGGGGATGGGCAGGGGAAACTGAGGCACAGACTAACTCAGTGCTCCGCCCGCTGGACTCGGGTGCTCTTTCCCCAGGACTCTCTAGGGGGACGGGCAGGGGAAACTGAGGCACAGACTAACTCAGTGCTCCGCCCGCTGGACTCGGGTGCTCTTTCCCCAGGACTCCCTAGGGGGACGGGCAGGGGAAACTGAGGCACAGATTATCTCAGGGCTCTGCCTACTGGACTCGGGTGCTCTGTTCCCATGACACTCTGGGGGGACAAGAGGGGAAACTGAGGCATGCATTAACTCAGTGCTGGGCCCGCTGGACTCAGGTGCTCTGTTCCCAGGACTCCCTAGGGGGACGGGCAGGGGAAACTGAGGCACAGACTAACTCAGGGCTCCACCCGCTGGACTCAGGTGCTCTGTTCCCAGAATTCCCTCGGGGGACGGGCAGGGGAAACTGAGGCACAGACTAACTCAGTGCTCCGCCCGCTGGACTCGGGTACTCTGTTCCCAGGATTCCCTCGGGGGACGGGCAGGGGAAACTGAGGCACAGACTAACTCAGTGCTCCACCCGCTGGACTCAGGTGCTCTGTTCCCAGGATTCCCTCGGGGGACGGGCAGGGGAAACTGAGGCACAGACTAACTCAGGGCTCTGCCCGCTGGACTCGAGTGCTCTCTCCCCAGGACTCCCTAGGGGGACGGGCAGGGGAAACTGAGGCACGGCCCGACCCCCCCCTCGCCGTCCCCCGTGGCAGGTGCAGTTCGAGGAGTGGGAGGATGCCAAGTCCTGCTCCGTGGCCATCAACGACGACCCCGTGTTCGAGGGCCCGGAGAGCTTCGAGGTGGAGCTCAGCACCCCGGCCTACGCCCTGCTGGGGGCGGTCCCCCGGGCGACCGTCGTCATCCTCGACCCCGAGGACCAGCCCACCCTGGAGTTCGACAGGGACACCTACCGGGTGGCCGAGAGCGCCGGCTTCGTCTACGCGGCCATCGAGAGGCGAGGTCGGTGGGTCTCGAGGTGACAAGGGCTGCGGGGCGGCCGGGGCCGGGCCGGTCCCTTTCATGTGTGCCAGGGCCACGCTTGTGCGTGCTCATGCGTGTGCTCGCTTCACATGTACGAGCTCGCTTATTCCCCAGACAGCCCTCGTGGTGATTCTGCCCGGAGCCGGTGACACCCTGTTTCCCCGAAAATAAGACCCCCCCATACAACAGGCCCCTGAAGGATGTCTGAGCACGTGTCGTGCACAATAGAAGCCCCACCCCGAAAGTCAGCCCTGGTGATGGGCGTAGCTATGAAAATCAGCCCTGGTGATGGGCGTGGCTATGAAAATCAGCCCCAGTGATGGGCATGGCTATGAAAATCAGCCCTGATGGTGGGCGTGGCTATGAAAATCAGCCCTAGTGATGGGCGTGGCTATGAAAATCAGCACTGGTGATGGGCGTGGGCGTGGCTATGAAAATCAGCACTGATAATGGGCGTGGCCATGAAATCAGCCCCGGTGGTGGGCGAGGCCATGAAAGTCAGCCCTGGTGATGGGCGTGGCTATGAAAATGAGCCCTAGTGATGGGCGTGGCTATGAAAATGAGCCCTAGTGATGGGCGTGGCTATGAAAATCAGCCGTAGTGATGGGCATGGCTACGAAAATCAGCCCTGGTGATGGACGTGGCTATGAAAATCAGCCCTGGTGACGGGCGTGGCTATGAAAATCAGCCCTAGTGACGGGCGTGGCTATGAAAATCAGCCCTAGTGACGGGCGTGGCTATGAAAATCAGCTCTAGTGAGGGGCGTGGCTGCGCAGCGCATCTGCACAACCCATGCGTGTCGTCGCGGAGCGGGAAAGAACACGAGCAGCCCTTCTCATCCGCCCCGTGAGAGCTCTAGTGCTCGACAGGAGAGATCGGGGCCGGTGGCTCTAAAGGAAACAGAGTCGCAAGACATCCAGGATGGGATTCGGGGTCTGGAGAGTGAGGATGATGTTCCAGAAGAAGACGACTTCACTCTATTTGAATCAGTGCAGACGGTTGTACCGTACTTAAAAAAAACAATAACACATTCCCTGAAAATCAGCCCTGGGGTGTCTTCTGGAGGAAAGATAAATACACGACCCTGTCTTGTTTTCGGGGAAACTCGGTATCACAAGGTCACGTTGTTAGAGCGCCCATTTATTCTCAAGTTGGATGAGAAAACGGGTTATATTTAGGGTTGCGAATTATTCACCAGTCACTAATCATAATCAGTCACCCAATCCATAAAATATGTTCTAACCTTGGTCAAGGAGGAAAGTCGACGTTTGTAAGGAGTAGGTTTCCATCTTCGTTCTTGGGTGACAGAAATGTACTTTAAGGTTTCCCTGCGGGAGAGTCGTGTACAGAGCTGAGATGAAAAATGAACTGTGGGCCGGGCACTGTGGCTCCCGCCTGTCATCCTAGCACTCTGGGAGGCCAGATAAGGAAGGAAAGTCGACGTTTGTAAGGAGTAGTTCCATCTTCGTTCTTGGTGACAGAAATGTACTTAAGTTTCCCTGCGGGAGAGTCGTGTACAGAGCTGAGATGAAAAATGAACTGTGGGCCGGGCACTGTGGCTCCCGCCTGTCATCCTAGCACTCTGGGAGGCCAAGGCGGGAGGATCGCTCGAGGTCCGGAGTTCCAAACCAGCCTGAGCAAGATCGAGACCCCGTCTCTACTATAAACACAAAGAAATTAATTGGCCAACTAAAACTACATAAAAAAAAAAAAATTAGCCGGGCATGGTGGCGCATGCCTGTCATCCCAGCTACTCGGGAGGAGGCTGAGGCAGGAGGATCGCTTGAGCCCAGGAGTTGGAGGTTGCTGTGAGCGAGGCTGACGCCACGGCACTCACTCTAGCCTGGGCGACACAGCGAGACTCTGTCTCAAAAAAAAAAGAAGATGGTCTGTGTGTAAGAAATGAAGAGCAATTCTTATTTTGTTTTGTTTTTTACTCGACACATAAAAATTGTACATGTTTATAAAAGGGTAATTTTTTTTTTTTTTTGGAGACAGAGTCTCACTCTTATTGCCCCAGCTAGAGCGTCAGCCTCACTCCCAGCAACCTCCAACCTCTGGGCTCAAGCGATCCTCCTGCCTCAGCCTCCTCCCGAGTAGCTGGGACTACAGGCATGTGCCACCACGCCCGGCTAATTCTTTCTATATATATGTTTTTTCAGTTGTCCAGCGAATTTCTTTTTATATATTTTTTTAATAGAGACAAGGGTCTTACTCTTGCTCAGGATGGCCTCCAACTCCTGAGCTTGAGCGATCCTCCTGCCTCAGCCTCCCGAGTAGCTGGGACTACAGGCATGCGCCACCATGCCCGGCTCATTTTTTTTTTATATATATATTTTTAGTTGGCCAATTAATTTCTTTCTATTTATAGTAGAGACGGGGTCTCGCTCTTGCTCAGGCTGGTCTCGAACTCCGAGCTCGAGCATCCTCCCG